GTCCTCGCACGCAGCGCGGAGAACCCCACCCTTACTGCACACTCGGCCTACCTGGCAAACCGCTTCGGCGCCACGGATAACCAGCTCGCCGCCTGCACGCAGCGCCCGTTGCTGGTCGCCCTCAACGTCGCCTATCGCCGCCGCAGGGACCGCGAGGAGCATCCGTCCGACTCGTCCACGTCGTCCACGCCCGCCAGCTCACCGCGCTGCCGATATGACTCCCGCCCAACCTCCAAGGTCGACGGCGTACGCAAGCGCATGCGCCTGCGAACCCAGCTCGCAGACCAGCTCGGCACCGGCCCGTGCCCAGCTGACGAGAACAAGGTCCCGATCATTGCCCGCGTGCTGTCGTCGCCGCCGAAGATTAAGAGGTCGCTGTCGAGACGCTCCCTGTCTCTGTCGAGACGGAGGAGGAGGCTCGAAGAGAGCGCGGAGGAGAGCAGGTTGTACGTAGGCTTGGAGGACGGCGTGCTGGAGGATGAGGATGACTTTGTCGAGGAGCCGGCCACCATTTCAGACATATTGCCGACGGGGGAGACGCCGTATAGACTGGGGCTGCTAAAGTGTCAGCGCGGCGTCCCGGGTTTGGTGCTCGAGGATGACGAGCAGGACGCGGTGATGGAGAGGCGCGCGTTGAGAGCCATGTTCAGTGAGGCCGGTCATGGTAGCGGGACGCGGCGGGATGCCGAGTTGGCAGAGCAGCAGCCGTGTAGCGTGAGGGGGTTATTCCAGCGGGCCGCCTACGATTTCGAGGGGACGGAGCCCAGCTTTTCGGACATGGGTGACAACCCAAAAGTGCCCGAGGTGCCCGGATTGAACGCGATCGCAACTGTCGGCGATGATGAGTATGGCTTTGACGACGTGGACGAGGAGGACGAAGAAGAAAACGATGAAGCACTATATGAGCAATTTCAGAAACATAATGATTTGATCGAGGTTGCAGAGGAGGACCAGCGGTACTTTGACGAGCAAAGTGACCACTACTCATTCGATGACTCCGTGTTCACCGAGCGAGAAGTGGCTGTGCTTCTCCTCGCGCACGACATCGCACGCGCCTCGAAGCGCAACTCTGCGCTGATGGCAAAGTGTCCCGACGCCCCTCCAGGGCCTCTGCTGACGGCGGCAACCGCCGCGCGTATCGAGGACCTGTTCAAGTCGGACGCGATCATGGAAATCGCTTCCGTCGTCGCTGTGTTTCACATGCTGCAGCGGTGGACCGTGTGCTTCCCGTATCGCGCAGAGGGCGAGTCGCTCGAGGCGCCTGTGCGGAAGTTCGTCCAAACCCCCATCGCACACGACCTCAGCGTCGGCTCCGTCGGACAGCGCTCCGCGTCCAAGTCTTCGGCTAGCTTGCGCCGCGGCCAGGGTCGCTCAATACGACTGCCACGGCATACCGTCGTAAGTTTTTGACATAGCACTTTTAATCGCCGGAGCTTTGGTTAAAGGGAAGTAATATATGCAATCAATTGCTTGCACAACTATTTTTTTATTCATTTCACTACTCCTATGCACAACTTTGTTTCTCGAAGTGGCGTGGCCACCGTTTTGGACACTGAGTACCGCTTTTCGGCTGACCCTCGTAGTCTTGACGACTTGTTCATAAAGGTCGACTGAAGGATTCGAAACATCGCACTATGCACGAATGCGCAAATAAGGATTAGCATCCTGACTGAGATGCATCCTCGGCTCGAGGTAAAGATTAGATTGAAGCAAATGCATGAAACGATGTGCAAGACTGCTGGCGACTGCCTGCTTGCCGCAGGTACAGACTGAGTAGGCAGGAGTCTGGTAGTGTACTGTACGCAGAAGGGGGGATGCGCTTGACAAGAATCTGCAGCAGTCACGCCGTTGCCCTTCACGAGACCGTAGCAATCCACATGCATGTGGAGTTAGCAACAAAGCAATCGGCTCGTTTTTGGCCTGTTATTTGATGCTGACTAGTGTACAGTATCATTATGTCCCGAGTCTCAGGTGTGATTTGACGAAGGAAGCAATGCGTGTTGCGTTTATCATATATTTTCCGCCGCCATCGCGAGACTCGATGGTGGCGGCCGAAAGCGCTTTCGGCTCGGCCTCGATTGCCCATCTGTTGTGCCGTACATTGCAACAGATTCAATTCTTTCGTGTCTGCTAAAATAGGAGGGAGCCTCGCGAACCTCTCAGTTCTATTTTGGAGAATCATCTCGACGGCTGAGGTAGCAACAAGATACGACGGAGAAACACAAATGAGTATGAGCCTTTGGAAGAAGTGCTTTATGACGTTTGTGACATAGTGAGGTTCAGGGGTATTTGAGAATATGGATCATCACGAATGCGTGCTGCACGCCAGCGTACAGTATAATCCACGTAACGTTTTGCTGCACAAGATGTCTGGAGAATGATTGCGAACAAGGATCGTGACGCAAGATGGTTGGACAGGTCATCGGTCGCGTATTGTTGTACAGTATCGATACCTTGTCACATCAGCGATCGGGGAGATGTCGATAGGAGATGGTAGCGAACCCATAGCATACTGTAAACACGCCTTGAAGAAAGGAGGAATTAGACAGGGCTAGAGTTGACTCCCTACCCCCGCTTCGAAGAGTACAGTCGCACTCAAAACCAAACTCTCCCTCGCGGGCACGCAGAGGTACCCTTGGTACTGTACACTTCCTCGGTGGCGCTCCTTTCCCCTTCATGGCACGCTCCATCGATACCACTGTGTGTACGGACAGGAGATTAGGGTAGAACGACAAAAGTGCATCGGTGAAAGATGGAGATTGCATTGCAAGTGCTTGCAATGCAACGCTTGGAGATGTCACGGAAACAAGATCCTTCGCATTTGTGCCTTCCAACGGGGGGAGGGGGGGGCGGGTTCGGGCCAATAGGGGCGCAAGCGCCGTGTGACTTTAGAGGGGCATTTATCGTGTTACAGTGCTGAAACTCTAATAAGTTACCTCGCCTTCTCCAATACTGTACTGTAGTTTGGATGGCGATGTCGCGTTGTATTGCACATTAACAAGGGTACTGTATGAACGTATGAACTCAATGCCGGGAACCGTGTTTATTATATATTTTGACAAACATCGAATACAGTACGACTCTGAACCCATTTGGATGTTACACTATGCATGATGTGCCAGTAAAGGACACGGCGAATAGGTAGCCGAACCGGCAATCATTACCGTCAACAGGTGAAGAGCACAGGATGTGAGACTGCCGCACATTCGGTGCATAAAAACCCCTGAAATCGGCTCGTCTTCTTCTTCTCGTCTTCAACTCAACTAACGCGATTGTCTCTCTCTGTATAGACACTTGTCTAGACGATAAGCGATTTACCTCATATGAGGTCTGGCATGGCCTCATATGACGCCGCCTTTTTTTTGCAAATTTTGCAAAATATATACTGTACATGCAATCGAAACTTTGAAAACTCACTTGGACACCTTTTTTTTTTTTTTTCCGTTGTATATGCCCTCGGCAGTAACATCTTGCAAAACATTAGGATAGCAGTTCTCAGTACACAGAAAGATTAAGAATCTAATGAAGTTTCAATCTTCGGTTGACATTTTAAACAGGCCTTTGATTTTGAAGATATCAACACAACACATAACGTTTTGAGGTTGATCAAAAAGCTTCTTTTTTAGGCAGTCTAAAAATGGCTGGAAAGACGTGCAGATCTCACTAAACTCCACCCTTTCGCATCCCAGAAGTCTACTGCGCTGGCGAGAGTATCTTTTTCCTTCTTGTTGAGCAAGCACAAGTCGAGAAAAAATAAGTTGAAAGTGACCTCATATGAGGTCACTTGTCGTCTAGACACTACCCTTCTTTAGTAGGAGAGGGTAGACGACCTGCAATTTGCCTCATGTGAGGTCAGGCATGGCCTCATATGAGGCCAGCTTTTTTATTGCAAAAACATATACATTAAATCGAAAATGTGGAACGTAAATTTGAACATCATTTCTTAAACGTATCTGCCCTCGGCAAGAATATCATGCAAAACATTGGGGCAACAGTTTTGAATACACTCAAGGGCTAAGAAACTGATGCAGTTTAAGCACAAAATTGCATTTCTAAACCGGACTTTTAATTACGAAGACATCAGTACAAAGCGTTTCAAGGTTGCTCAAAAACGCTTGTTGCCAGGCATTTCTAATGACGACGGGAAAGGACATGCAGTCTTCACCAAACTCTATCTTTCCGCAACGCAGAAGTCGAGTTTGGTGGCGGGGTTATCTTCGCCCTCGTATTGAGTATGCACAATTCCAGAAAAAAATAAGCTGAAAACAAGGCTCATGTGAAGAGTCATATAGACACTCACTGCACTAGGTTTCGAAGGACAGCATAATTCACTCAGTGTCTCTGCGAGGATTAAAGAAGGTGAAGCCTCCTTTTGGAAAGAGTCTCTCAGCTCTATTCTCTCAAACCACCAACGCCTTGCGATGGACCGCGCCATGACGCATTCCCCGGCGACTAGCGTACCCCCCCGCCTTCAGGATGCCGTCTGTGCTAAAAACATCGCCGCCGCTCCTGGAAACGTTTGCCGAGTGGCACTGCAGGTGCAAGCAGAGGTGATTGATTAATTACCCTTCCCCGCGAGGGTAGTTTGGAGTGAATTTCAAAAATATAAATGAAAAAAGTGCTTCACATGGACCTCAGGCGATTATGAGTAACCAATCGCTGCCTGATGGTGTCGGAAACCACGTCCATGCACCAAAACGTGGCTGAAACCAACGGAAAACAATTTAGTGCTGTACACAGCACGATGCATACAGTAAGCTGCGTACATACGCAGCATTTACTACTGTATGCACAAGTAGTGCACTGTTCAGAAGCCTTAAATTTATTGCAGTACTTTACAACCCCCTTATCGGAGGCTACGGACCAGGAAACAGACGGCTAGAAACATTGTGCTACAGGGGGTACCCGATTTAGTGCCTCCATATATAGTACATGCCCGGTTTAGTGCTACTCTAACGGCTCTACACCAAAACGTATGATAAGCAAGTGCCCCCAGGGCCCATCGAGCGATTCCGGAAGGACGCCATGGAATCTTTTTTAAAAAAGGGATAAATCCATTGTTGTGTGGCCAAATATACTAAAAAGACCAATGCTATCTTTTTGACTGCGGTGGAGCTCGCTGTTATCAATCTGGTCCATTGCGGTGATGCGAGGACCACAAGTGAACCAGAGAAAGCGGACCGGACCGGACCGGCCGCACGGCGCGTGCTGTTCTGGGTTAATAATGTCAGTCAGCATTATTTATATGTCCATGTTTATCTGATGAAAAATTAAAAAAGACCAAAGAAAGCAAAAAGTCAGTTTGGGTGTGCTGCTGAGCTATCCCAGCGCCACGATAACAGTTATTTCTATCAGTTATCGTCACGGTGCATTTAGGACGACTACCGGGATGACTCCAGAGCAGAAAAAGGGCCTGCCTGTTAGACTTATTGACTAGACTACAGTAGATATCACACTTCTATGTTATCAATATCAATTCAGGGATTATGTAGGCTACATTTAGCTATCAATTATAGAGTCCCTTAAGGACGTGCCACCTACAATTCTACATGTTTAGAGTGTAACCGTTTAGACATATTTCGTGGGTGGCGCAACCTCCCTTTTATGGTAGTGCGCCTACTTTTGTTGTAGAGTCAATAGGACTATAAAGCCAGGTCGAAGACGCTACTCGTCTTCGACCTCAGCACATTCGATCACCTGAACCATCAACCCGACAACCCCGTCCCCTGACCGTGCTCACCAACTGTAGCGGTTCCGAGGCAATAGCCTGCCGCTCTTCCCCCTCCCTTTAAGGTAACCCTATTTACCACCCTTTTACCCTTTACTAAAATCCCCTCCGGACCGCCCCCTTTTTCGGTCGGTCTCCCGACACTTATAAGTTTAAGGGACCACCGCCCCCATTTGGTCCTGCCCCGCTCCGCTGATAAGACCTGCCTTATTATACCGCCGATTCAAGCTCTTTGCGCATCGTTAACAAGGCCGCCTTATCTACTTCGCCGAATTGGAAATCAAGAAATTTTTTAGAAAACCACTTTGTCCCTAACTTTTATTGTCATTACTACTGTATAGTTTGGCAATAGAGGTTATACATTTGGGCGTACTGTAAACTCTACTGTACGCCTGGCACAATAGTGCAGTAGTTTATGGCACGCGTAAAACGGCCTAGCAACCACTCGGACGTAATTCGGGAACGCCGCATCGCCGCCGCCAAAGCCCGCATTTCCGCCGCCGTATCTCCGCCGCCGTATCGGGCTACTGAGTCTACGCACTCAGGTTCGCCGCCTCGTGTCCGTCCGTCAAGCTCACCGCCCCGTGGTCGCCTGTCCTCCTTCGCCGAGACGCCGCCCGTCCTGTACTCCTCACGTACTCCCCCGCGCTACGAGACTACTCCGCCCGTATCTCCCGTCGCG